ACAAACCTCATTATCATGTTTTTTTTTTTTTTTTTAATCCACCAAGGTGTCTGTACCTTTGGTCTGCAATTAAAAAAATCTCAAATTATTCTAGATGTGAGACCCAAAGCCTGATAAACCCTGCATATCTACGTAAAGGAGGAAAAATACTGTAAACACCACCTCACAGTCAGATAGCGTTCAGCTGGTTGTGTGTGAGCGATGAAAGGTAGTCTCTTGTTCGTGCAAGGCTCGGGTCTGTAAATGGGAAACGAACCAATTCACACAACACTGTTCAAGTGGGGAGAAGAGGCTGTGGGAGCAGGAGGAATGTGAAATCTGGCACATGATAACTAGCTTAATGTCAGAAATCTTGCTCCATAATCACAGACTCTATGTATAACACTTAAATGACCTGTTGTATGCTGTTTCATTTCATAGGAATGCAGTAACAAATGTTCAAAAGTGAAAAAGCTTACTTCTAAAGGCTAACAGCAGCTTAACTAGTTAGCGCTGTTGATGAGCAACTGTTTTTACTTTGGTTAACCCCTGCCGTGAAAATTTCAATAAGGTAGTTATGTAGCTTTTGGTAATTTACAAATGTATTAAGATTTACTGTTTTCATGGCATTGTCTGAGACTGGTTCTAATCTAGGTCCACCAGGACCCATGCAACACACCTATACGCTCATTATTATCAGTTCTGTTTTTACATTGCACCTTATAATACTCCATTTTGCCATATTTTGTACTCTTAATACTCTTAGTATTCTATAGTACGGTAAATACCACCAATTTTGCACCTTATTGTAAATACTGACATTTTTGCACACTTTTGTAAATACAGTCGCGACCTGATAATCCGACACGTAACGATCCGAAAACCTTGCTATCCGACAGGTTTGTAGAAAAAAAAAATGAATGTAACCCATTAAAAATAGCCTTAACATACTGACAGCCTCGGATTCCGACTCCTACATGACATTTTATGTCACAAATAAGGATAGCGACCTATTATCTGACTTAACAATCCGGCAGATTTACTTACCTTTAATGTCAACCAACGGGCCCATGCACAAGCGCACTGGTCAGTTAGGCGTGAAATCTAGTGATGCCTAGTGTTCTAACAATACACTAGTCCCACTCATTGAGTGAGTTTGCCCAACTAATGAAGTCGATTTGCATCAGTTTGTTAGTGAACAACTCTACATGTGTGGAACACAGGAAGGATAGGTTTGGTGCTTTGAAGTTCTTTAAAGTATTAAACAATGTGACATGTTCTGACATCTGAACAATTCTGCGAACCTATATATACTGCGGTTGTATCAGGTTTATCAATCATAGAAACAAATTGCTTCGATACTGTTACATGCCAGACATCATATGTAAAATTGCATCCACCAAGTTTTCACCAGCGTTCAAGAAGTCACAGACCACATCGTGTACTGTCATGGAGCGACCAATGTAGTTCATGACAAGTCTTTTATTTTGTTTCATATTAATCATAAGAATATAATATATGTAGATAGTGTATTATAACAGCTAGAAACAATAAATATGAACAACAAATTACCCTTCAAGCATCAAGCCTTCCTTGTATCTCGACCTCTGTCTTGACAATCCGACAGCCTTGCTATCCGACATAAAAAAAGGTATTACATTTAGTGTCGGATTATCAAGTCACGACTGTACCAGCATTTTAGGCAACTTATTGCTATATCTTTGACCAGCACAATTTGCATGTTGATTGCATTGTTCTTTTGTTCCCTTATCTATCTTGTATGTAACGTGTGTGAGCTACTGGATACCTTGAATTTCCCCAAAGAGATAAATAAAGTATCTATCTATCTATCTATCTATCTATCTATCTATCTATCTATCTATCTATCTATCTATCTATCTATCTATCTATTCATCTATCTATCTATCTATCTATCTATCTATCTATCTATCTATCTATCTATCTATCTATCTATCTATTCATTCATTCATTCATTCATTCATTCATTCATTCATTCATTCATTCATTCATCCATCCATCCATCCATCCATCCATCCGGTACATGATGAGAACATATGGTAAATGATGACACAATCACAGAAATTTACCATATTAATTGTGACCATACAAAGGTCTAACTTCAGTGCCCATTCACCATGAGTCTTTGTGTTTTATACATAAAGTATGCGTTTTGTAGTAGTCCTTGTGAGAAACAAAACTACATCTACATTTATTCTCTTGAGGACAAATATGCCCTTTGACTGCTCTGGAAGGTGTCTGTGTTCAATGTCCAGGCCTGTTATCAATCGGCTCTGCCTCTATTTTAAGGCTCACATTATTCATTGTCTTTGTTTCGTCTCATAAAGTGGAAGCACTTTGCCTCATCCATGCAGTTAATAAGTGGGAGAGTGAAATGAGGTCTTTTGTGAGCCTCTCTTTCATCCAGGGTTGCTTTCATTCTGGTAAATGCATAAATCGCCCTGTTGGTTGTCACCCATTCTTTTATGTTGATGTGATCAAATTAGCAGTGTGAAATGGAGTTATTTTAATATATGTTGGGCCGATATATACCAGAATATATAAATGTTAATAAAGATACAGAATAAATAAATCATTTATAATGAATAACAGTAACTGTGAATTTAGCGTGGTGCAGCTCATTGCTCAGTGATCCCCAGCCATCATTGACAAAACTACAGTATCTCAAATTTTTTAGTTGAACTATAAGAAACAAAATTTAGAGTAAATAAAAGTCAATCACACTGAGACATTATGTTGTGGTCCAGTCGGCAAATGTAAGAACATTTTACCTCATTATCACCCGAAGTCAAAGGGCTGCTTTAAAAAAATAAATTAAAAAAATAAAATAAATACATTAATTAATTAATTTTAAAAAATAAAAAAAAAGCAAGACATGCAGCTTATACCAAAGTATGTTTTAAAATGAAACATAGAATTAAGGTCTTTATCTCTATTTTGTGTTTAGAAACATCATCTGTCTGAGATTTCCAACCAGTCCAAGACTCTCTCCAAAACAGCTGACCATACATAGATGTGATTCAGAAAGTGATTGAACTACACAGCCTGAAGTAAATGAAGATGGCACCAGCTGTTATTTGATCTAAAGGAGCAACAAGACTTTTTTTTTTTCTTCTGCAATGATGCATGAGGTGATTGGAGCTGAGTATCAGCTTGGATAGATGCCAGGTTCTGCTTCTCACTGTGCTTCACCTGCCTTGGAATTCCAGAAACTTGACTCCTTTCATAAGTTAGTACTAAACTATACCAAGGCTTTCTCGGCTTTCACTTTTTCCAGATACAACATTTGTAAGGCACTTGATTTATCTTATCTTTTTCAAATTGTTCCTTTTAATAAAAATATGAATCATAACAATAGAAAGAAAAATGAAAAATAGATGCTGCTGCCTAATTCCAGAGGGTCAGGTTTGTTTTCCTGTTTAACTTGACCTGTTTTTATCTGTTTTATTGGGTGCATCAAAAAAGAATGGAAATTGTGCTCCTGAAGTAGTGATGAATTACTGCCATGCATGAATCATACATCAATAATAGCCTTATTTTACATATCACCCATTATGTTGAAGATACAGAAAAATGGAAATGCAAGGCAAACGTGAGACCCCCTACATTTTACAAATAGTGTTTTCAGTGGAGTTGATGTCCTATTAGGCTTGTGTTATACCATCTGTGTCTGGTGTCTGCATTCTGTGATCTGCCCAAGTCTGTGAGACTCCATGTGAGTGCTGCCCAAAATTTGTACTCTCACAGTGACAACGCCACAACAGCAGTAGTGCGTATACTCTGCAGTAGTGCAAATGGTCTGTACTTATATAGCGTCTTTCTACCTCAGTGGTGCTCAAAGCGCATTGCAATGTTTCTCATTCATACACCTATGGCTACAGAGCTGCCATGCAAGGTGCTGCCTTGCTGCAGCTTGGGGTTCAGTTCCTTGCCATGGACACCAAGGACACATTGACATACGGAGAGGGGCTGCAAATCAAACTGCCAACCTTGTGATCTGTGGACAACCTGCTCTACCACCTGAGTCACAGCTGCCCAATGAATAGTGTGCATGCAAGAAATCCATAGACACTGATCTACTGTGCATGTATGGAACGGACTCCTCCAAACAGACTCTAAGTGGACTACAAAGTAGGAGTATAAGAACAACAACTATGCGCCCACGGTGTCTTCAGCTGTCTGTATGAATGTCTTTGTAGAGGGACGACAATCAAAGCGCTGAGACAAATCAAGCTCCCCAAGGCTCCTGTGCAGTTCCAGCCTGGTTCAAGGTGTTCATAGGGTGATGATTGCCGTGCTGTTGCCCTTCATTAACCACCATTCCACTGTTGTGTGCGCATTAATGAGGACTTGTTAAACTTTACGTATTGAAGGACAATAAAGATTACAATTTGGAAGCACGTAAAAATGAGCCTTTCTTGCTGTTGCCTTTTTAACAACATGCATTTGAATCATGTCGTCTTTTCAGTGACTTACAGCCGTTCCCTCCCAATTTGTACAACACAATGGAAAGTTCTCATAAGGGAGGATCCAGGTTACAGGTCATTTAGTTCCCATAGTGAAAGAGCAGCTATTGACATACGAACATAAGACCTACAGCAGTCCAGCAGGGTTCTACCAAGCCCAACCCAACTCATTCACTAGGAGCTACTTGGATCATACTTCCACTAGCCATAGCTCAGTCAGCAACCTCCCTGGAAGAAACATCAAGCCCAGAACTGAAGGAAATGTGACAAAGTCATGAAAATAAGTCAGAAGTACTTAAGTCTGTATTGATCTGTGGTGTCAAAAAGGTCAAAGCAAATCTGTCTGCCTTGGTAAATTTGGTTGTGGGCTCTATTTGTTATTTCACAAGTGATTCTTCTACATTTTGTTATTGTATAAACTGACTAAATGAATATTCCCAAGAGAATGGGAATTACAGTATAAACTTATATAGCAGCTTCACTTTAATGTCTCTCTGTGTGTCTCTACTTTCACAGCGGACATCTCCAGAATGTGTGATGTGGACGTGTCCTCAGAGCCCACCAGTCCAACTCTTTACGGTGAATCTTCAGATAAATACTACCATGTGGATCGCTGGCAGAAGCTTCGCACAGCTGTCCGCAAACTGGAGTTTTGGGAAAACTTCAGTGCTGAGCTAATCGGGAGCGGCTTTTTCTCCAAAGTCTATAAGGTATTTCATCTGTCCTCCTGCCGCTCTTGTTTTGCCTCGCTGCTGGCCTAAGTGTGAGTTGACATTAAAGATTGCTTTGTTTCAGCCACTAATTGGGACATTCTTGCCATTCTGTGATTGGTCCACCAGCGTTGAGACTGCGGGGGAGTAATACTCACCCCAAGCTGAGACTTTACGTAATTTCTAATGTAATACCAGTGCAGCAGAGCTATGAGAAGAGCTCATCTTCATACATTTAGGCTTTGTCCCTGATGGAATGACCTAGAAAGAGGCCACAGGATGGGTTAGGAAATAGGCAAGTCAGGGCTTTGGTGTGTCTGGATTAAGACAGATTGAGAAAGTATTTGCTGACTTTGTACATTTGTTCCAGTTGAATCAATTTCTGCTTTAAAGCAAGCCTATGTAACTTTTGAAAGACAGAATACCACAATCTACCTCTCAGACATGGGTCACAAGCTACAAAATATACCACACAGAAACACACCGATTAATCAGTGATATTATGAATTATGACAGGGCAGCTTATTAAAATGTGATTAGTACTTTTTTTCCCCCCTTATTTTAACCTCAGTTTTACCTGAATTCTCAAGCAAACGAGCAGATCTGTCTCATATTTTTTGTACTTTTGCTAGTAATCTAGTATTTATAGAAACTTGGTTATAATTTAGATTTATTTCATCTGATTTGGGGTTTTTATGTTTTACATCTAGATTACGGATCATAAACTTCATATATATATATATATATATACAATATATATATATATATATGTATATATTGCTTTAAAGTGAATACATTCACTTCTAGAACATTTAAATGGATACAACCATTTAGGAAACCTTAGATTAACTTCTTTGTAAATCTAAGGAGTGTAACTTTTTTGTGTAAACAAAGTTGTTTTACTGACTTATCTGCTTGTGCCGTTGTTAGATTTTGTTGTGGCATTTTTCACACTCTTTCTGCTGTACGTCTCCTGCCTGCCCCATCACCACTGCTATAAGCACCACTGCCTCTGCTGTCACTAACGAACACCACTGTCCTTCAGGTGATGCACAGCACTAGTCGGAAGGTGATGGTGGTGAAGATCTACAAAAACGACGTAGACCAAGACAGCATTGTACGAGAGATTAGCCTGCTGCAGAAACTTTCCCACCCCAACATCGTCAGGTAACGTCCTACTGCTTACTGAAGCCTGTATCTAATGGGTCCAGTCCATCTGTGCAAAATGCAAAATGATCTGCTAAGGATTTCCCTCCCAAAAGATGCACTCTCCTCCTGTCTTTTCAGACTCTACACTGTCCCACATATCAAACTTTCCTCCATGCATCACAGCTTTACTTTACACAATAGTGTAATGGCACTACATTTTAAACATGTTTATAACTACTTGTGCTGTACTAAAAGAGACAGTGTAGTCTATGTGCTGTCTACATGCAAGAAAGATTTATTGCATTCATTAGTTTGTTCACCAGGTGGCATTTATGAAAGCTCCTGGCAGCTCAGAGTTGCATACAATAACTAACACCAGTTTAAAAGAGTCTTTAAAGGAGTATTTTTTTTTGCACAAGTCAGAAGTTTTTCGTTTTTGTGACTTAAAGTCCCATTATGTCTTGCTGCACTTGCAATGTTAACTCAGAGTGCTGCAAAAAAACACAACAGAGGACCTATTAGGCACAACCCCACTCCTAGGAGCAGGGAAGAAGTAGAGCAATGTAGGTTTTGTTATATTAGCCTGTATTTTGCGTTAAAGATGGTGATGTTGGAGAAAGAAGACTCAACATTGAGACGCTGAGAGAAAAGATTTTAGCTTAGAGGTACCGACCCTGGACTAGGCACTTGGGCTGGACCCGAATATCTGAATATTCGTTCGTTGTGTTGGTATCTGGATAGCAATTTTGATATCCAAATATTCGCCTGCCAACCCCATCCAACCCCTCCCCCCCGGTCAGATTGAATATTCAGATATTCGTCATTAATTGGGCCCGACTATTTGGCGACCAGAAATTGTTATTTGGAACAGCCCTTCTAGGTACACATTTCTCTCTGAATAACAGTCCTGGAAGAGTTCTACAGCTGTTCTTGTGGTCAAAACACTTACAAAACTTTGGCCACCCTATAACAGCCCACTAGTTACTGCAGTGGAAAACAACCTATTGAGGTCATGGTGGGTGGTGGTGCTGTACTGGACTGTATTACATTTAAAAGCTTTCCTAATACTTCGCCCCCTCATGTATGTTAATGGGATGGACAAAACAAGGTGGCCATCATCAGTGTAGAATAACAGTGGAACTTCATATAACAGGATCATGGTTGCGTCTGATCTAACCTGACGGGAGCAGAAATATGACATGTTTTCATTTGAGCCACAAAAAAATCAACAAAAATATAGAAAGAAAATTTAATTGAAGCTTGGACAAAAAACTCACAGACTTTGCAGGTAAAATGTTACTGAGTATATTTATTTTAGTAGTAGTTGCTGGTTTGGCAGCATGACTGAAGCAAAGCCTCACTGCAGCTGACAGTCAGCGCGGCATCTGCAGTCAACACAAATGAAAAGAGGCTTCGGTGCTGTTTAATAGTGGCACTTTGATCCACCGCGGTTACGTAAGGTGTGAAACCAGTCAGACATAATGTTTGTCTAAGCAATCTTATTTTCGCCATTTAGCAAGGACACAGTGGGAAGGTTATCAGAGGGCAGCTTATGTGCTTACAGTACAGCTGGCTGTGAGGAAAGCAGTGGGAGTCCACACTGTGAGTACCTGGTACCCAGCACCCTGCTCACACTGCGTAGGCCGAGCACAAACACACGTGTAAATGATAATAGTTGCAGTGATTGTTCCCAGGAAACTGACTGTTACAGCATTAATAATAAACTGTGATCATTTGTAGGCTTGGCTCCATTATTGAATAAATGGCTTAAATGGAGCATTATTTAAATTGTTGTCCAATTTGATGTCTAAGATTAAATAAGTTGTCTATGTTCCTTCATTACTGATGTAGTATCTGAACATGTATGTTGAATCATAGTTGTAAAGGCAGTGACATAAGAGCAGCATGCAAAAAGCAAAGTCTCTCTGTTCGTTCTGTTTAAATGTAGATGATCTTAAGTACTACACACTAAGTGCCACACATCCCAATGTACCTTACCAAGTCATATAAAGGATAAGTCTTGTGACAGAGCTCCAGAGTGCAGTCATTTTTTTGGTCATATGTGACCAAAAGTCTGACTAAACGTTTGCAGTGGCACACCAGTGCTGCTGACATTTAGCAGGTCTACCTGTGTGTGTCTTTAGGTGGATAAAATCACTCAACTAAGCTAAATCTGTCTGAGTGTACTGGAGTAACTAAATCAAGACTAGAGGCTCAGCTTCCTAATGTCTACCGATGCATGTGAGGAGTAAAGGGAAAATTAGCATTTATCAATTGTCAACATGTGAGGTGTTTAGGGGACATCTGTAAATTGTAAAGCCAACAAAAGAGTGCAGCTGAGCGTGACTGGGCACAAGGCTTTTGCTATTGGAGCATTTTACTGTCCAAATTGAAATATTAAAAAAAAACCCCAATGTCCTGTGCTGTGACGGGGCAGCGACAAACGAATCAGTTAGGAGTTAGAAATGATAATAAAATTTACCACTGCTCATTATTTAGCCAAAGAAGAGCTACCTATATGACATTTATCTGTATTTTAATTCTGTTTACACTCCTTCACATGTGTTAAAAAATGACCGGTGTGTATGTGAACTGCCAGAAATAGTAAGCTATTAAATGTCAGTCGTCAGTACGAACCAGTTGTTGAATGACCTCTGATTTGTCTACATTTGTACGTGTGTACAGTCACACCAGAAGCTCTTTGAGGCTTGTGTACAATGGTGCTTTCTTTCTTTTGCTAAGTTTATTTACAATAGGTCGTACCCCATCTATCACGTCATGAAATCCAAATAAATGACAGCAAGCACACACAAATGAAAATCTACATTATATAATTCTTAACCAAACCTTCCCTCGCTCTCCTAGGACCTTAAAAGTGGCCTAATTTTTCACTTCAGTAATAAAGCAGTAATAAACATAGTTCCTCGTTTTCTAGATATCTGGGAATCTGTGTGAAAGAAGACAAACTCTATCCAATCTTAGAGGTGAGTGTTATCTTTCTTTGTTTGCCCGTTGTGAGTCACTGTTACGGTGTATGTTCACAGGTTGGCACTGCTCTGAGTGTGGAAAACACACATCATACAAATGTTAACTAAGAGTGATAATGAAATGGTGAGTGAGTTCATTGCGTAACCAGATGTGGGCTCGTTGCAGCCACTTTGAAAAAAATAGATTTCCCTCAGTTTAATGTTTTAACAGGACGCATACAATTTTTTTTTTCATGTTATTATGATGCTTCTGTTTTTATAAGATACCAGTTTAACCAGTTACTAGGCATTGTCTCAGTTAACATATTACTTCATCTTTTTTAGTCACCAAATGACAATCACTGCTAATTTAAGTGCACAAACAGAATGAAAGCAAACCATAGCCATATGTCTTGATCATTATGTTACAATAAATCACGTTATATGATTTCTCAGGACTACAGTCTCACTTTACTATCTGTTTATAATAACATACAAAAGATATGCATTTTGTAATAATGGCAAAATATATCATAGTAATGTGAAAGGTTTCTTGTGAAAACAGACTAAACTGGTATCTCATAATGTTGACAAAATATGTCATAAAAACAGGAAAAGTTTCTGATAAACGCTGAAAACTGGAATTTCATAACATATGCAAAATATATCAACATAGTGTAAAAGAGATCCTGAAAATATTTGATGAATTTCTTGTTATAAAAGGAAAGTTTGTCATATTGATGACGTTTTCGGGGGGGTTTTTTGTAAAAAGAAAAAGTGAAGTTAAAGGTTGTTGTAAGCAAGTACACAGTCATTTTAGACTTGTGCTTCAGGAGGTTACATGTTGACATTATCTAATATTTTTGCAGTGTCCTCCTGTGTTAAACTCATATTCATATATAATAACAACTGATGTATTATTACTGTTTCCTTTTAAATACAAATTAATCTGACAACGTTTACATTTATGTTGATGAAGGTTTCTTCCTGCCTCAGTGTACAAGCTGGTATTTGCTGCATGTTTCAGTATGTGAACGGTGGCTGTCTGGAGGAGCTTCTGGCCAGGAAGGATGTTCCTCTGTGTTGGAGAGAGAAGGTGGACCTGGCCTGTGACATCAGCAGAGGAATGATCTACCTGCACTACAAGAACATTTACCACAGAGACCTCAACTCGAAGGTGAGACCGCCACTCTGCATTAAGCTCTATTTATGTTTCATCAGCTGCTGTCGCTCCTGCTCAGTCTATCCAACAGAGACACACAGGCTGTAGTTGGTACTTGTCCAGCTGCAGCTCTACAGGTGATGCTGGGAACTTGTGAACAGAGAAATGGATGGCTGAAAACTCAATAAGTGTAGCATAGTTCAGATGTTTAATTTATATGTCTTTAGGTCGTGTGTTCACCACGATTTCACAGCCAGTTAAGAAAAAAGTTTTGTATGACAAAACAAAAAATGAATAAAAAACAAGCAAATCTGACATGGATGTAGTTTTCTAAGGGTTTTGGAAGCCATGTCCAGAAGGACCTCTAGCATGTGACCGTCAATTTCCAGTCTCAGGAGAAATAGAAACTTGCATATTGGTGTTATCATAAGAATATTGTTATAAGAGTTTACAAATTCTGGATTTAATTACCATTCCTCACAGGACTAGCTGTGAAATAGAAAATACACACAAAAACCTAAAAACGAAGTGAAGTGTAACTAAAGACTGTAGTAAGAGTTGCAGTGAACTCAATTTTTTGTTAACAAGAGCTTACAATTACTCAGTACGAATGCATTGCTGCATGCATATGACTAAAGTTCAGTTATTGCAGGTTGTGTCTCTGCCATGACATGTTTGTCCGTTTGAACAATGTTAAAGTTTATCTTATTTTAGAAAGATGTTACAGTTATGTAGTTATATCCGCAGGCTAAGAGGCACAGCAAGCCTCTTATTGATAGCCTTATCCTAGCGCTCTTGGTAAAATATCCTGTTGCACTGGCACCAACAAGTGAATAATTGGGGTGTTTTCTGTATAACAGGAATGTTAAGCATGCTTGTGGAAGACTGTAATTTGTTACAGCTTTGGCAGTGTCTTCTAAATCACTTCCGAACACAGCGCCACTAATTCACCAGAGGTGCTCCGCTTTGCAATACATTCCCTGTCTCTCTGTGTAAACAATAGCTTTCTGTGATTGGCTGTTACTTGTGATATCCAACCAATCAGATAGTGCTGTGGGCAGGACATTGCTTGAGACCAAATATTGAGTGCAGAGAGAGCAGGAGCCTGCTAAATCAGACCTAAAGTAGCACATTTTATTTTATTTAGTTAGAAATGGTCAACAAAAGGAACAGTCCCAAAAATCAGAAAAATCCCAAATGTCGCCCTCAGTAATTGGCCAGGCCGATAATCTGTCAGTCCCGTTTATTCTGACATAAATATCTCTCTGCTAAGGCAGCTACCCCAAAAAAGCATTAGACAGCTTCAGCTTCTAATTTCGTCTTTTTAATTTCTACTGTCTAGTCTTTCTGTTACAGAGATTTGGGGAAATGAGAAGTTGCACAACACAGCGTGCAAATAGCACATATCAGGGTGACTAGCATGGGCCCCCAGCACATTTCCAAAATACATGATTTGTCCATGAATCCTTTCATATTTTTTTTTTCAGTCTGACTGACAGTAATCACAGAAATTAGCTGCAATTTTGCTAACTGCATTAGTGATCTCCCTTGGGGATACTTGCTGACTGCTCTGATCATATGCACCCAGGTACTTTTTATAAATAATTTTCCCAGAAAGTCAATATTATAATACAATATGTATTATTTAGCAAAACTTTAAAAAAAGAAAAAGAAAAAGCTGAATAGAATAGATAAATGAATAAATATAACTTAAAGGACCATGGTTTTTACTATACTGGTTATATAAGCTATATTCAGTGAATTCCTGAGCCAGTGTTATAAAGTTTTTCACCCTAGCTTGTTCATGTTCATGCTGTTTCTGTTGTAACAAGTTATATTTGCTTTATATTTTATTTTCAACACCTGGTTGTTCAATCAAATAGTATGGGTCATTGATGGACTTTCATGTGAATATGGTGGGTTATACCTTAACAGCAGTCTTTCAAAAAAAAAAAAGGCATTCTATTTCATTGATCCATTGCTCAAATATACTGTGTTTAAAATCATTTTTGTGTATTAAAAAAATAGTTTTTGCTTAACTGTCAATGACTAACTGCATCTTGTACATATTAACTTTACAGGAAATCTCTGTTTTCTCGGTTATTCTCTGTAACAGTTAGTTATACTCTGTGTAAAACCCAGTATGAGGCCAAGGAGATCCTCATCCATAATCTGGTGCGTAGGTATTCTTGTGTGTGGGAGCTGTCTCTGCCCTGGTTGCCAGGCTTTCCAGAATGTAATGCAAAGGGACAACATGACAGTCACTATTGTTATGTTAATAGATTGTTTCTAACTAAGGGCTGTTGCTGCACACATAACTTGTTGGCACTCACGTGGACTCTGGATTTGTGTGAGAAAAGAGGCCTCTTCCTGAGCACCGAACCCTCTCGCCATGCATGTCACCCTGAGGCTACTCATTTCGCTCCGTCCCCATTCTCCTCATTCACACAGAGGCCATAGTTCATTTACGTCACACCCCAGCTACAGAAACTAGATTGATCCATCAACAATGTTGATCTATAATGATTTGTGACAACTGGGTTGGAGATACAAAGCTGGGCTAATAATCTTTTTGTCGTAACAACGGATAAAGCACTTAAAGTTTTCACACACCCAAATCCATGAGAGACTTTACTTTAAAATTGCCAAACATGAGAACAGAGGGGAATGTGTCAGCTATACCTGGCATGCAAAGTGGAGGACCTACAGAGAAAAAAATGTTTTTACTATCAACACATAGAAAGATCGCACAACTTTAATTTGACGCCTTTATCGTCTGACCTATCTACCAATAAACTCTCAGTTTTGGATCTATTGGACTAAACAAAGATGAATGACCTTTTGTTTAATTATTATTTACAGTCCATAGCTTATAGCAGTGTTTCCCAACCAGGAGTATTGGTGCCCCAGGGGTACATGCAAAGATTTGAGAACATTTTTTAAAAAACTGATGACAGATACAATGCTATATTGACTCTGCTATATCCATTGCCTAATTTCCTAACATTTGCTAAAAGTAATGGATAAACAACTTAGTCAGATAAGTGATGATAGGGAACACTTAAAACAGGATGGCACATGAAACAGGATGAAACAGTAAAAGTGATGAATAAACATTTTTTTGCAAACATCTTGTTTATTAAAAGTTTATTAAAAGTCTTTTAGAAATATGATGAAATCTGCCGAGTCAAAAATATACATACTGCAATGTGAATTACCAGTTTTGGTAATGTAGGAAGTTGTGGTAATCTCAGCTTCTTGTAAGTGACTGCAGCTGACTACAGCTGCTGACTCCTCTAAACTACTACAATCAAAATCATTGCCTTAAACAGTCACAAAAGTTACCTGGAGCCGTTTCAAAGATGCCTCAGATATAAAATCAACTGTGTATACCTATAAAGTTCATAGTACAGTTGAGTCACTGCCACAATCAGTAAGACAGCACAAACTATCACCTACCACCACCTCTTTCAGAAGTGGCACCTGAAAGCTCAACTGAAGTTTGCTGCTGATCACATAGACAAAGAAAAGACCTTCTGGAGGACAGTTCTGTGGTCAGATGAATTGATCTGGCCACAATTACCAGAAATATGTTTGGAGGAGAGAAGGTGAGGCTTTTAACCCCAAGAACACCAAACCTACCGTCAAGCATGGTGGTGGTATTATAATGTTCTGGGGCTCCTGTGCTGCCATTGGAACTGGTGCTTTACACAAAGTAAATGGAACAATGAAGGAGATGGATTACCTGTACATTCTACAGGAAAACGGAAAATTACTAGTCAGATGGTTTGCTCTTGGATGCAGTTGGGTGTTCCAACAAGACAATGACCCCAAACACATCAACAATTATTTTTAAAAAATGACTAAATCAGGTTAGAATTCGGGTTTTTGACTGAAATGAAAGAGACACTTATTCAAACTTATTTCATATTTCCTATATTAAATGTTTTAAAATGCACAATTGTTTTTTTGTTTTTTTGTTTTTTTTTTGTGACAAAGACATGTGTCTCAGTGTGTAGTGTATGTACACTTTTGTTTGGATTGTTTAACAGGTTATCTAATAATGATAATGAAGAGTAATGAGTAAAGGGTTAAAATAAAAATGGGAAAAGCTGTAGAGGTACTTTATTTAGTTGAAAGTATTGGATGAAATAGATGCTAAGTAATGGATAAACAATTCAGCTACAAGTAATGACTGAAGTGTCTACTAAAAGTAAACAGTTTACCTGCAAGTAATGGAAATAATTTAATTAGTAGCTGATTTAAAAAAAGAAACAAAAAAAAACACATGCTAAGAGTAATTGATATACAGCTTGGCTAACAGCAATGAATGAAACAAATGGTAAGAAATAACTAAGCTGTTCAGTAAGTTAAAAGTAAGATTGGAATTGAAAGTTAAAAAGCTGCATTAGCTATCACAAAGTGTGCTGTCAAGTCCTACAACTCACAGATTACAAAGCCAGAGTGCAGAAACTACTGATGTTTTGCTTGGTTGTAGTTTAGCAGTAAAACAGATGTCACAAAGTCATTGATGATGGAACCTCTGGTCGTTTTGTGATGTTGATACCATTTACTTGTGCAGAGTTACAACATAATACTGATCAGAAGAGTTCAATCCCTGCCAGACTTTTACAAGTTATTGGTATTATGTCTTTACAACAACAATGATAATGTGTTGGTGTTTAAAAACTAACCCTTTACCGCTTTTTTGTACCGTTCTGCACAGACAAACAGTCCATTTTGATATAGCCTCCAAAAACCTTTGTGAATACATTATTGAAAGCCAAATGATGAGTTGCAGAGCGTACCTGAGGCTGGGTGTTCTGCACACTGTTATGAGCTGGATTCTTTCCCTTTTCTCTGTCCTCCTTCCTGGTCAGCAGCTCTTCCAGAGTGCTACATCTTCTTGTCCAGCCCTCCTGATGCTGGCTGAGAAGCTCATTCTTGTGGCTCAGCTGAACCAAATTCTGCTTGATCAGAGCCATCATTTTGCTTTGGTATCTGCTGCTCGGCTTTCCCTTTTACTGATCACACTGGTCACAACTTCAAGAGCCTCACTCTTCATCTATAGCTCGATGACTTTCCAGATGACTTTTTTCTTGAAGTCTGCCTCCAGCACCTTCCAGCTGTTCTCACAGGCGTCTGCTCTCTCGACCCTCCTCCTCCCAGGCTGCTCTGACCCTTTGGTGCTCTCCCTGCCACTGAGCTCCAGCTCTCCTCTGTTTGGACATGGAGACTTTCACAAAGGGAGGTCACTTCCTCCTCTCTCTTTGATGACCACCTTATACCCCCTGAGCTGGTCGTCAGCCTCCTGCAGTCTGGATTCATGCCCTCCTTTCGTTGTCCTGACAGCAGCGGCACCATGCTGTATGATATAAATATGCACATGATTGTATGCATGAATAATATCACTTTTGACAGACTATCACAGCAGATAGGCAGATTCAGACAGATGCTTTGGCATAAAATTTTATGTTTACTACAAATAGTGACATCTGGTTTAAATCTAGCAAAAAAAAAAAAAACAGCCTAAATACAAGACTCATTTGAATAAAACATGCCCACATCCAGTCAGTGCCAGTTTCAGAACTCTAAAACCTTCAACATGGGATCAATGGATAAGAGACACTTGAAATACAATACCTGTCCTCTGTGGACAAAGGGAAATTCTGAGTAAACTTTTTACAAAACTGGCTTAAAAATACAGAACGTGAAAAGCAAAGTAACCCAAAACAGTTGCAGAAAAATCTGTAATGTGTACCCAAGGTCAAAGATTTATTCTAGCCAAAACAAAAGTAGGAAAACACCTGCATTATACACTGTGTTAGAACAAAGTCAGTGACAGAAAGTTAAACTGGGATTTAATGAGTTGCTGGGCATTGAGATTTGTGACGCCAGTATTTCAGGATGTCCAAAAGGCAAAATAGATTCAAAAGCTGCCCGAACTAATGCAGCCATTGTGAGTATGCCTGAGTAGATCTACAAGTTACTACAACCAGAGTTAAATGTCCTGGAGAAGTTTGGGCCCCTTTAAATTAGTGCCTTTTTTTTTCTCCCTTTCTCTTAGCATCTATGAGCGCTTTCTATTTTTGTTCCCCAAACTGTTGCTTTTCTTGGCAGAGAGGTGAAGGGCCGCGGTTAAATTTAGAGCTGGAGTCTGGGACTGAAGTTTTCCACCAAGAGAGCCTCGTAATGACAGGCTACTGGATGGAAAACACTTCTTGTGCAATGGGAGCCAGATGGTTGATACGTCACTTCCACACACACCCAGCCACGCAAACACACACACACAGACCCTTGCAAACAGAACAACATAGACGTAGGTACATGCAAACCTGTGCTAGAGCGTGTATGCCCGTGCATCAACATCACACTTATACATTACACACTCTTGGGGCCACCCACTGTTGTTATGCAACTACAGCTCTTAGCAGCTCTCCCACTTCCTCCCTCTCATCACACCTCCTGCTCTCAGCCTTCAGTCAACCAGGAGTTGTATTTTTCCTCAAAGTATGACGGTTTTTATAGAAAATCACACATGAGTCAGTTGCTCAGTGTAACACACAACCAGCCAGACAAGACTGAGTTTCTGATGGGTACTGAGCTCTCACATGTGGTCCAGGTGAATTATTTAGTGAGCCAGAAAGGTGCTGACAGCAGATCCTATCAAGTCTATTGACAAGTGGAGAGGCTAAAGAGAGACTGTTTGTCTGGCAGCAGTTCCAGGAAACACATGCATACACAGTGGAAATACATATAGAGATCTTTCTTGTTAACATAAAGACAAAGTGGAGAAAATGGACGGTTAATGCGGCCTGCTTTTTCAGCCATCAGCCTTACACTGCCCTCTGCTGGCAAAACATCACTTTACAGTTCTTTTTCTTGTACTGTGCCATTGTGTCCCTCCAGAACTGTCTGATCCGGGTGACATCTCGGGGTCGGGAGGCTCTGGTGACAGATTTTGGCCTGGCCAGGGAAGTAGTAGAGCTGCCAGTGAAAGACCCCGGCAGGAAGCTCTCACTGGTGGGCTCAGCCTTCTGGATGGCCCCTGAGATGCTCAGAGGAGAGCCATACGACCGCAAGGTAACAGTCCTGTTGATACACAGTAACACACTGCCTAACCACGGTCGCTGTAACGTTTCATATATTCAACAAGAAGTGATCAGAAAGTGGGTTAAATGCACAACATCTTACAGTCATTTAATTAGGTCTAAAAAAATACATAAATAAATCGAGGCACTGCAAGTTGTTCTGTTATTGATTTTATTTTTCAGTGACTCTCTTGTTTTGTGTATTAAATGCCATTTAAAGCTCAGTGTGATGACTTGTTTTGAGACAAAGAAAAGCAACAAATTATTACGAATGACAAGCTGAATGTCAATGTTAATAAAAAAACTTTTTTTATTTTTTTTTTAAAGTACATTCTTGAGTGGCTTGTTGCTTGTCAAGACAACCAATACATCCAGGGATTATGTTTTTTTTGTTTTGTTTTTATGTTTCAGGTGGACGTTTTCTCCTTTGGCATTGTTCTCTGTGAAGTCCTGGCCAGGATCCCTGCTGACCCAGAGATACTCCCCAGAACCCAGGTAGAGTTCAGTAAGAAACCCAGTGTGACAGCAGAGACCTCCAGCTGTAGGAATTATAATGAGTGAATATTCAACATAAGCATTGTTCATTTGCATCCGAACAGCAGGTGAATAGCAGCATGTATTCTGCTCATATGTGTCGTGATCAACTTCTGCCATGTGATCAAACACACAAATGTTTATTGTTCTTGGAAATTTAGCAGATTACCGACATGACACGTCTTTTCTAAGGATAGTAAAGTGTTTCCTGTTACAGTACACACAGTGACCGTTGATGTTGATGCATTTCAGGACTATGGGCTGGATGTGAACGCATTCAGGGAGCTGGTGACTGACTGCCCTCAGCGTCTCCTGGAGTTAGCAGCTAGCTGCTGTATGGTAGGTAGACGGAGGGGGATACTTTACATCAGGGGTCTCAAATTCAACTTGCCTGGGGGCCGCTGGAGATAGAGTCTGAATGAGGCTGGGCCGCATCAAGTATTCCACAAAAAAGGGTTTGAAGTATTCCAGAAAAAGCACAACTGATCCAATCTTCTCAATCTTTATTAATAACATTTCTGAACATGAAAGGTTCTTCAGAACATAGGCTTCTCCTACCTACTCCTTGCTGCCAGAGACCTGGCAGCGCTACCTCTTACACAGCTGAGCCACATTTGGCTTGACAGAGGAGGGAATTAAGACCCTCAGTATGGCTTGAAGATGCTCATCAGTAAGTTTAAACCTGTACTTTGACTTGTTAAAGTTCACGGTGGAGACGAGCTTTTCACACAGAAAAAAATGCATTTGCACTGCGTGACAGGATGTATTTCTCTCCACTTGGTGACACTCCCAAATCACGTTTCAAGTGACTAACATTGCTAATTCATGTTGCTGTCATGAGCCTGAGCTATGGTGGATCACAAGTGATGAAAAAAATAAAACTCCCAGGGCAACGACTCGCGTAGGTGCGTGTGAGAAAAATAACTAACTAACACTGAACTTTGATGTCAAGTAGGAGGCCACAAAATATTGTTACTGCAATTGGCTCCCAGGCTGCAAGTTTGAGACTCCTGCTTTACATGAATGCACTAAAAAAAACTAAACAAAACAAAAAAAAACTGAAGGTGCTGTTGTGACTACAAAGGCTTATTATGCACCTGAGAACACTTTACAGTTTGCTTTTCAATGTGAACACAGTTGGGACAGATGTCATGTCATCAAGCAATTTGTTCCAAAGAAGCTTCGTAATCTGGATCTTAGTCCAGTTAGGAAAACAGCAGTTTACAACTTGTGAGCTCAGAGTTTACCAATGCTCTAACATTGTGTTCATGTTTTCCAGCTGAAAAAAGTCTGTCTTGGTTAAAGAGACTTTGTAGACTTTGGTGTCTGGCTCAGTTTGTTGCAGCCTGGTAGTCATGAAGCTAAGAGCTTGACCTGAAGAGCAGTTCGTGGTTTCCATATATGAGGACAGCACACATGTGCTATACATACTACACTGGGGGGTTTGTGTACATAAACACATTCCACACATGCTTTCTGCAAAACATGATAGTGACCTCTTGACTAAGAAGAACGTCTGCTTCATTTATTGTGTCTGACTTGACACAGTAAACAGCATGTGCAATGCTAAACAGTAACAGGAGCATGTCTGAAATACACTGTAAGCACTGTGACATACATTGGGAGCACCCAAAAAAATGTCCAGATCACTTTTCTGCCACATACACAGTCGATGTACTTTTTGTGTGGACTGTCCACACAGTTTCTAATTCTGGGCTGCACACAGACCTCTGAAGAGGGCCTGTATGCAGCCTTACAGACAGGCGGAGGATCACATTTACGTTACATGGGCTTGTAGAAGCCATGAGCTGGTCTGTAAGCTTCAAAGTTACATAATGATACATGCTAGTGTGGACCTTGGGAGATGAAATAGCATAAGGTTGACAAAGTGATTTCAAGTGTACTTTTCTGGGTACTGCTTGGACTTCCCTACAGTGGTCCTGACAGCTCAACACACTGCAACTTGAAATACCAGACAGAACATAACTTTACCACTTTTACTCTGACAACACAGACACAGCATTTAGGGCTCTTAACCACAAAACCCGCTGGCAGTTTTGTCTGCTTCAAAAATCACCCAGTTAAATCATTTATCAGAGCCAGAAACTGCAAAAACAGAAAGAGTTGTTGGATTTTAAGCTTTCTAATTGTCTGTGATGGTATGATGTGTGATGTATGGTTCTGTCAGAAAAAGTAGTGCGGTTTCCATCAAGGTGCAATACTTTATACTGCAGCGAAAAANAGAGAACCCACGCTGCACGGGGAGAACATGCAAACTCCACGCAGAAAGATCCCGGTGCCCCCACCGGGACATGAACCGGCAACCTTCTTGCTGCGAGGCAACAGTTCTACCAACTGTGCCACCCTGCAGGCCCGCTTCAAAAATCACCAAGTTAAATCATTTATCAGAGCCAGAAACTGCAAAAACAGAAAGAATAGTTGGATTTTAAGCTTTCTGATTGTCTGTGATGGTATGATGTGTGATGTATGGTTCTGTCAGAAAAAGTAGTGCGGTTTCCATCAAGGTGCAATACTTTATACTGCAGCGAAAAATGAGCCCACGGTGACTAAAAAGATGACAGGTACAAAAATGTCTAGGCATTGCTTGAAGTTCAGAGGATTGAACAAAATATTGCAAAGTGAGAAAACTCAACCAAATATGAAAATGCACTGATAACACAAAAAAATCAGTATTTGCTGCACAAATGCTGTCCAATTTGTCAGGATGCTTTCATTGTTGGTTTGTGTGTGTTGCGGTGACTTGGCCGAGAGACATGACAAACAACACATTGCCCCCTGACCAATCAGAGCTTGTCGTGTTTTATGATCTATGTGACATCATCAAGGAGGAGGATCCAGGGACAGAACGAAACAGAAGGATCTGATGCAATGTGCCTGATAGTGACGGGCTTGTATTTATAGGAACCTGAAAAAAGGCAACAAGAACCTGACTTTGCTGTTGGTCTGTTTGCTAGGACGTCCTGAAATGTCCCAGATGTGACATTAGTTGTTGTTCTTTATGACAAAGTAAACAGGAATAAACAAAACAAACAAACAAAATTTTGTTCCCACCGCTCTACATCTCTCAAGCTGACCTACCCTTTCCTGCCTCAGTACCTTTCGCTAAAGTTTGTCATGTTTTCTGATTAATTCTAAATGTACACCCTCACAGATTCCCATTCCTTTTTCATTTCTAAGATGGAGTCCTTCCGACGTCCAGCGTTTACAGAGTTGCTGGACGAGATGAGCGAAGTCGCCGAGAGTCTGGAGCCACCACCGAAATCTGACCTGACCACGAGCTGAGCGGTGCGTCTGTAAATCCCGCTTGTCCTGCATCAGCAGCGGAGGCTCTGGGATCAGTATTGGTTGCTGTCTGGACGGTAGCCTGGACGGAACAAAAAACACACTTGGATAATCCGTGGCATCCCTCTGCTCCTCCACACAACACACGACATGGCTGAACTTGTCTCCACTGAGCTGCTGCAAGTATAGTGTGTTTCCAGAGAGCAGTGGAAACTCTCCTGACGTCTGTGGACACTTTGCTTTGACCACCTTTGTGTACAGATCATTAGTAGTTAGGAGTGAATACACTCGTTTTTGTTGTTTTTTTGACTAAACTGGCTCACCCTCTCCTCCTTTCTTTGTAGGGGTTTGTTTGTAACTGACGACACAGATCATCAGGTCTGTTGACGTTATATTCCTCCTCTGTCTGCTCTCCTTGTCCCTTTCGATCCTACAGGTCTGGACTCTTCTCCATCAGGAAGCTTCATTTGTTAAATGAGCGCTCTGCTCTCTGCTTGGACTTCAACAAAGGGATCGCTTCATACACGATGGGACACAAAAATCCTTTAGAAAGCAGAGCAAACTTGAGTATGAGATTTAAGTTTGACTTGAAAGAGTTGGATTCAGGTTAACAATTCATAATCACAGTTCCAGTTACAGTATATCATGTGGTTCAGTTTTAGCTATTTGTTTTCCCATAAAATGACTGGTTTTGTTGAAAAATAATGAAAACCTCCCAACATATCTCATTTCCAGGAACAAAAGAATAATAATTTAGCGCCTTTAGCTTTATTAAAAAGAATTACTTTGCAGTTTGAATTATCAAGTGGATTTTGCTCACAAGAACTTCAAATGTCTCTCCAGTGAAATCACATAAATGTTTTAGTTAAATATGCACAGTCTAATGTCTGCATCGGCTTTTGCTTCGTCATATTTTGTGTTATTTTTCTGGGTTTAATGGAGTTATTTTGATCTGAATATGTGCATGTAAATATTTAAGCTTTTCTCTTTCACTCTGCTTTTTTCTTTCTTTTTGTTTTTCTATTCTGCCACACATTCTTTTTCTTGTTGTGGTTATGTGTGTGGTCCCAGAGATTTTTCAGGCAGCTATGATACATGATGCATTTGATTTATATCCTATTAACTTTATTTTGCCTTTTATGATGAAAAAAAAATGAAATGATCTATAACTTTATTTCCCATTTAGCAGACAGCTCTCCATTCGAGGGCATAAATATTCATTTTGCATTTAGTAGTCACTGTTTTTAGTTTTCACATTCCATCATGGAAAACAAATGGAACCATTTTCATTTAATCTACTTCAATAAAGTTTGGGAAAAAAAAGTTTGTATGAATGTGTATCATAAGACGACTTCATCATGTTATATATTTCTGTGTAATTACACATGGATGCACAGAAAGATGTCTCTGTTAAAGAGAGCTGGGTACCAGAGTAAAAGATATCACAACAGACTGAGTATGAAAATGAAAAACATGACAGCTCCTCAAAAGCGAAGCCAAATAGAATTTTGATCATATTTGTACAATAGGAGGAAGTTGTGACTATAGACTGTATATAAAAGATGGACATAACCTGTAGATCTGAAAAGTGAAGCCAAGTGCTTTAGACCTGTGTTGTTTCTAACAGCCAGCAGGGGGCGACTCCTCTGGTTGAAAATGGAAGTCTGATTGTATAGAAGTCCATGAGAAAGGGATTCTACTTTCCCCCTGCCAGTGACGTAATGGTCTCAGTCGCTTGATAGAAGACTTTTGAATACACTATGATATTTAGAGTAAAACACACAGCAAAGCAGAGTATGTTCTAGGGCAGGATTACCTTGTGATCGGCAGGTTGGTACTGTATATATGTGTATGTGCAGTGTGTGTGTGTGTGTAGTGTGGTGGAGTTTCCAGTCAGATAAACTCATGGCTTGTTAAGTCCAGTTTCATGGCGACATGACAGAACTCCTCAAAATTCCTTTCTTTTCTTTTAAAGCCTTAAAAAGTTAGTGAACAATCCAGAGAGTGATGTCACAGGACCTATTAAAAGTATTCAACCCCCTGCCTTGGAAAATTTCCTGTTTATTGTTTTTAAGCATTGAATCATTGTCAATTTAATTTGGCTTTTTTTTTTTAAGTATTTACAAAAAAAAAGCCTTTGTCAAAGATGAAACGGATTTCTTCAAAGTAATATGAAATAAGTGATTGCCAAAGTGTTCACCCCCTTAAAGCCAATATTTAGTAGATGTACCTTTGGCAGCAATTGCAACATTGAGCCTTGGCAAATATGGTCTCAATCTGTTTTGCACATCTGGCCACTGCAATGTTACTACATGGAATTTACTCACCTAGTGCTTGAAAAAGTTTAAAAGTTTCTGGGTTTGTTTGTGCACATGTGCATTCGTGTTCTCCTACTGTAAAAACTGCCTTTGTTAGCAGTGAGAGGTGCAGTGCCAACAGTTTGCTGAGGCCTTTACCACAATAGCGGTCTATGGGGAAAATACATTTTGGAGCCAATGACAGTACTATAGACAATTTGGCTCATTATATTTATGTTGTTATCCAAGATCCCTCAAAACTTGCGATGTGAAAAACAAAAAGACATTTTATTTTCTCACATTCATTCCATTGTAAAATGTAAGTCATCCAACTACCCAACTGAGAGCATGAAGACAAAATGAATGCTCCCTTTAATACTGTTGTACTGTTATATCATCCATCTGTGATGTCAGATGCGTTCCAGGGCTGATTTTGTGATGCAGATTCTCTGAAGGCCAGTTGCACGGACTGATTCTCTGACAGAAGGCAGTGCTTCATTTATTTAAACAGAGCAGCAGTTAGGAAGAAGCAGCGCCCTGTCTGAACGTGGATCGTCAGACGCAGCAGTGGTCTCAGCAGGGTAAGTTTCTTATTCCCCTCTGAAGGAAACCGCCTGTTTGAGGCTGTAGCTTCAATCTGTTAGGAGCAAGTCAGCTGGAACAGGAACAAGAGAAGCCTTTAACTGACATCGTCTGGTTGTATAAAAAATGCACTTCCAAGTTTCTCCTTGCACCTGCACAGCCGCAGTTTTCAACCACTCCACCCGTTGCTTTACAAGGCTACAAGGCCTACAAAAGGTCTGAAGTTCAAAGGCTCTTTGCCAAACTGTCACATGAAACCGAAAAAAGCTTTCACTCCACTGTCTAGCTACAGCAGTGTTATGTTAGTTGTCCACCTGAAAATACACAAAACATGTAATTGCTAACTTGTTTGCTAAGTGCTTGGTTTCCTACAAAATAACATTACTGCACACAACTTTGAAATGGAGTGGCAGAATGAACTTTTCTTTCAAAAATGTGCCGAACTGAACACCAGCTAACTCCCTCTGTGTTGTCACACATACACCCTACAAGGCTGTTATACAGAAATATGACTACATTCCTGTGTCAGTTTGCAGTTTATTGAACAAAATCTTACTGAAGAACAAAACTCATGTCAGCACAACAGAAACTAAAATAGTGAAGTTCTAACATTAGATTTTTATACAACAATACGCAACCTATGTTAGAGACTGTATGAAAGCTATTCCGGGGAAGGGAAGTGGTAAAACAAGTTCTAGACTTAACATAGTAAACTCTCACATGTCAGAAATGCCATATTTCTATATAAGATTTTCAGTATTGTTTTCTCAGTTGGTGCTGGAGTTCTTTACTTACATCATCTTGTTACGTCCTCTTCTTATGCAATTAGAGTGAACTGTCCTCTAATTGCAAGGTTGGTGGTTCGGCCCTCCACATGTCGATGTGTCCTTGGGCAAAACATTGAGCCTGAAGTTGCTCCCAATTGCAGACTGCCACCTTGCATGGCAGCTCTGTTGGTTTGTGAATGTGTGTGTGAATGGGTCAATGAGAAAACATTGTAAAGTGCTTTGAGTACCACGACGGTAGAAAAGCGTTATGTAAGTGCAGACCATTTACCAGTAATGCAGTAATTACATGGCACTCGAGAATTAATACCACCAACTGTTTATCGCACTGATTCAAATTGTAATTTTCACACATCAGTAGTGGATGGAAAGATGCACTCAGTCACATTTATTTATTTTCTGTTGCACATAACAGTT